GGGGGGGGGGGGGGGGGGGAGGTTGGTGTGAATGTTAGGGTGGTAGATTATACAGGTTATAAAACCACAAAACTGCAACATTAGTTGAAAACATAACTGGAGAACATACCCAAAGCTTAGCACATATGCCAATACACCAGACTGGTGTATTGAATAAAATCTCACACTACACTCCAAAGTCCAAGCTAAATCAAAAAATATTTCTTGTTACAGGAAAGTGCCATTCCTTTGGCCATTGAAGGAAAGGATATTTTGGCTAGAGCAAAGACAGGTTCAGGAAAAACTGCCGCGTGAGTCAGTTTTAAAACATGATTTATAACTGTCTTTGTTAAAATTGGTTGTAACTTAACCTGAAAGAGATAAAGAAAATTTTGATGTATTGGAAAATGATCCTTCTGAAAATAAGTAGTTACTAATTACCAGATGAAAGACCTTCTTCTTCTAAAACTGTCAATTTGAAAATGTTCCTCATTTATATTAATAGTTATGACCAAAATAATGACATTTTATTATAGAGTACTACCTATATAGGATCCCCAACAGATTAAGGTAGTGTACTTTATGTAATTGACATACATTACATCGATCTGTCAAGTGGAACTTTGCTATGCTCTTTTCCATTTAGGTATGCAATTCCAATTATTCAAAAAATTCTTCAGGAGAAAAAGGTTTGTATATTGTGTATATGCTCCATCATGTATATTGTGTATATCCTGCACATGTGGTTCAGACTTCCCCTGGGGTGCACCCCTAACATTTCTCATACTAGATGTAGTATATCAAATTGAGATTCCACTGGAGTTAGTATCATTATAGATATGGACTCAAGGCAAATTATTTCTGAAATGTACTGTAGGTACATAGGTAAATGTGTGTTTCTCTTTCCAGGAAAACCAAAATGAAGCATCAGTGAGAGGAAGTAATTTTAGTTCCAACCAAAGAATTATCTCAACAAGCATGCAAGAATATGAAGGTACTAAATAAGTTATGTGTCTGATCTTGATAAAGTCCTCAATTTACTTTTATACGGCAGTCAATAAGATACAAATCAGCACATAATATTTGGACCAGCTGGTATGTAGATTAGTCAGTCTAATATTCACAATTCTGGGGCTGGATTGGCAATAACATTTGTGCTTTGGTTAAAATTTAACCTGCTGTTTTAGTTTATGTATTCCTGCACATCTGTTTATTTCAAAACATCAGAGAAGAAAATTTGCTTTTCCCCTTGACAAGTATAATTGTCTGGCATTAGACAGTGAGAATAAAATAACAAAGTAGGGTCAAATGTTGGGCTTCAATGCAGTGAAAGGCTTAAAAAGGGTTAAATTGTCAAGAACAATTTCAATTTTTGAAAATTATAGGATCTTACATCATATTGTTCTCGGAGTGTGCGTGTTGTTGATGTTGCTCAAGCAACGCTTGATGTCGTCAGGTACAGTTTCACATTCAGTCACACCTACCTATTTCCAGTGAATATTTTAAGAATAAGAAAACAAAATTGCTCATTTTGAGTGACAAAAACAAGGACATGTTTGCTAGAGAGTGGATTCAAATATTATAAATTTGAACTAATGTGTTTTGAACAGGCCAGTTCTATTGGAGAAACCAGACGTTGTCATTGGTACTCCAAGTCGTGTTCTGGGCCATCTTCAGGCAAAGGTTGGTCACAAATGTAAAATTTGTTAATAATTGACTACATGTACAGTACAGTAATTGAGGATAATGTATGCAAAATTTGGAAAGTCAAAAAAATTGAAAAATGTGTTAAATTTAGGTGATTTTATTACAATCTTCCTTAAATAATAAGATAATAAGGCATGTTCGGTTGCATGCTTGTCAGATCTTGGAATCCTAGGTAACGGCGCTGCCTGAAAGTGCCTGAAGCTTAAATGCAATCCTTCGTAACTCCCTTTTCAAATGCCAGAACTCCGTTTTCAAAAGCCAGAACTTCCTTTTCTAAGCCAAAACTCCCTTTTCAAATGCCAAAACTCCGTTTTCAAAATGCCAAAACTCCATTTTCAAATGCCAGAACTCCGTTTTCACAAGCCAGAACTCCGTTTTCAAATGCCAAAACTCCCTTTTCAAACGCCAAAACTCCCTTTTCAAAATGCCAAAACTCCATTTTCAAATGCCAGAACTATACCTTTTCAAAAGCCAGAACTCCGTTTTCAAATGCCAGAACTCCATTTTCAAATGCCAAAACATCCTTTTCAAATGCCAGAAGTCCCTTTTCAAAAGCCAAAATTCCCTTTTCAAAAGCCAAAACTTCCTTTTCAAATGCCAAAACTCCCTTTTCAAATGCCAAAACTCCGTTTTCAAATGCCAGAACTCCATTTTCAAATGCCAAAACATCCTTTTCAAATGCCAGAACTCCCTTTTCAAAAGCCAAAATTCCCTTTTCAAAAGCCAAAACTCCCTTTTCAAATGCCAAAACTCCCTTTTCAAATGCCAAAACTCCCTTTTCAAATGCCAGAACTCCGTTTTCAAATGCAAGAACTACCATTTCAAAAGCCAGAACTCCGTTTTCAAAAGCCAGAACTCAAGATACATTAAAACAGATCAGTTTATGATTGCTTTGTTATTATAGAATCTTGATTTAAAGAAATCATTAAGCATGTTAGTAGTTGACGAAGCTGACTTGGTGTTTTCTTATGGTTATGAATATGACTTAAAAATGTTGTTGAGGTGAAAGTTTATTTCTTTTATAATTCCATTTGTCTTGTGACGGATGTGAATGAGTGGATTAGTTATAAATGTTCAGATGAGGGTACAATATACATACTTAGGACGTTATATGTTATATCTTGTCTACTCATTCACATGCATCAGAAGAAGAAAATCGCAGACTAGAAGTTGCAGAAAATATTGGCTTTGCTATTCAGTCTACAATTTTCTTTACCTTTGTCCAGGCGTCCTGGGACGCCCCTAGAACAAAAAATGGACGCCGTTGGGCGCCCAAAGTCTGGGGAAAAAGGGAAATTATTTTCAATTATTTCCCTAAGTATATTAATATATCTGAAACGAAATAGCTTCAATTCTCATTATTATTATGATACATTTGACATTTTGATCAATTTGTACCTGGCTGAATGAAAATGTCGTAGTTAAGTAAAGAAGCATAGCGGCACAAACTCACAAAGCCAAGTGTGTTTGAAAAATTTCGAACGAGCTTGGAACAGATACTGACATGAAGTAAACGTAAACTTCAAACGTTTTTCTTGACACCCCCCCCCCCTTCACTGTAGATGTATCGTGGTACCAAAATTGGACGACCTCTTTTAGGAACCTGGCTAAAAGCCTGCTTCTACATGTATATAAAATAATTCTTTCATTTTGTAGCCACCTCCCAAAAATTTATCAAGCATTTTTAATGTCAGCAACATTAACAGAGGTGAGAAGATGCATGTCAGTGTGTTGGTGCTTCCTAGAGTTTATAGATTAGCAACTGTTTCTTGACAAACTTTCCTGATGGGATTTTTTACTTGTTAACAATGAGTTCTCTGTCTGCATCCATACACTAGGTGAAGTAAGATGCAAGTTTGACAGTTTGTTTTCCGTTAAACTTCACAGTCAAGACAAAAATTTTTGTCAGTGTGTTTGTGCTTCCTAGAGTCTATAGATTAGCAACTGTTTCTTGACAAACTTTCTTAGTAGGATTGTTTACTGTTATGAGTTCTCTGTCTGCATCCATACACTAGGTGAAGTAAGATGCAAGTTTGACGGTTTGTTTTCCGTTAAACTTCACAGTCAAGACAAAAAAATTTTCATTCTTATCTCAGAATACATGCTTCCGTAAAGTACGTTACATTTGCTATAGAGCCTCGTTTTGTGATTGAGACGTTAGCGTACACGAAAACGAGGCTCTATAGCCAAAGTGGCATACTTCCCGGAACGGTGTATTACTATGAAAATATTTTTCATATATATTTTTTTTCATGTTTTATTAGGAAGTAAAAGAACTCAAGAAGCTCGTATTGCAAAATCCTGTACGTTATGTAGTATATATATATGGGATATATTCAATGGTTATATTCTACTTTTTTTTTCAATGATTGATTTAACTTATTGAAAATTGCAATTATTCATGATTAGGTAACCTTGAAATTGGATAGTTCAGAACTGCCACAAGAAGATAGCCTAAAACAATATTTAATAAAGTGAGATTGGTTAATTGTATTTGAAGATATTGCTGTTTAAGTCTATGAAATGTTAATGTGGATTGTGGAATTAAATTATAAGTATATTTTTTATCTTTAGGTGCGAAGCGGATGATAAATTTTTACTTATTTATACTCTATTAAAGTTGAAGTAAGTCTCATGCGTTATCTCTTGTACTAACTTATAGGTCTCATTCATCTGTAATATCCACATTCTATCCTTTTCTTCAGGCTTGTGCTTGGTAAGACGTTGATATTCGTCAATGGTATTGATCGATGTTACAGGTACTGTATCTTCGAAGTGTTCAATTGCTTCTTTGCTGTACTAAGCAGTGAGCTTACTACTGTATACCTAACACATACCCATCTGATTGGGCACTGATAAAACTGATAATCTCGCATGCGAGATTATATTTATGATAATTTCACATGTGAAAATTATCGCTTTTCAATTATCGCTTTTCTGTAGCAATTATCGCTTTTCAAAGACTGTCCTTTATATAATGAACAAAAAAAATACATGGGTGCTTGGAAATACTAGATTTATTTCTTGTGTTGAACATGATATCTCACTGACTCGTAAGCTGCGCTCACTCTTGAGATATCATGTTCAACACTCGAAATAAATCTGGTATTTCCGCGCACCCATGTATTATTCTCTATATATTAAACGTATCTGATTGGTCCCTTACTACTAGCGGTAGTGAAAATCAAATCTGAACCTCTCTATTAGTTTCGTGATGAAGGATCGTCTCTTGAAATCTCTAAGGGTTTTTGATAATTTTTGAATACAATTATCTTTTTCAGGTTCACAGACACAAACCCCACGGCAGATCGTAGTTAATGTTGTTGAGCTTTTGTTTTAGATTGAAACTCTTCCTGGAGCAATTTTCAATCAAGTCTTGCGTTTTAAATTCGGAATTACCACATAATTCAAGGTGAGCTTTTGATTTTAAATTGTGTAATCTTTATAATGTAGGAGTATACAAGCCTAAATGATTTCATTGTTTATTTTATTCATATAATATCTTTCATGTTAGATGCCACATTGTGGAGGAATTTAACAAGGGGATTTATGATTACATCATTGCGACGGATGAAAATCTTGAGACATCAAAATCTTCAAACCGTATCCTTAGTAGCCTTGAAATACTTATAATGAGCCCGAAAACAATGATGCTCTGAGTAGTGAGTAGCTGTTTAGTTTTCACTATTTGTACATAAACTTACTTATATACTTTCAATTTTTAAATCTGTATTTTTCAAGTTTCTTTAACGGTACATTAGCTTCTCATAAAAATGCAAGTAATACAAAAGACAAAGAATACGGTGTTTCCCGTGGTATAGACTTTCAAGGTAGGCTTCATATATATCAAAACGTCGATAATAATGAGTTCTTAATGAATGCGTTCTTTAAGTACTTTAAAATGTGCTTTGTAGCTATATTGTGGATTACAAAACGAGACGTTCACTGTGGCCTTCCTGTCGAAGACCTAAGTCAACTGTCATTCCGAAAGCTTTTCAGAATATTTTTTCAGATCAGTGAACGTCTCTACTCGTGATTATGTTTCTGTCCGACCGTGCTTCATCAATTTTGCATCTAATTTAGATGTTGAAAATGTCCTAAATTTCGACTTTCCAAAGACTGTTGAAAGCTACGTTCACAGAGTTGGCAGGTAGGTTGAAGTGAAGAAATTTTCGGATGTGGTAATTTTTTATTGTAAATTTAGTGTAAAGAAAAAGAGATTAGGTCTTTTATTCATGCAACACGTCTAACTACCGTGAATCCTAGTAACCCCCAGGAGGGGCCTTATTGGAGGGAGAGGGGACTTGTAGAGAGAAGAGTTTATTGATTTAGCTGAAAAGTAGGAATTAAGAAACTTATTTAATCCAGTCAGGGGGGCTTAATAAATTTCTCCTGAAAGGGGGTTATTATAGAGTCTTATTTAAGAGAAAGTTAACAAGTTATCTGCAATTGGTTTCCAGGACTGCTCGTGGTTACAACACTGGTAATGCACTTTCTCTGGTGACGTCATCCGATGATAAAACGATTACTGCCGTCGAGGAACGATTATCTCCGAACCCAGGTGAAGTAGCTAGAGTTATCGTTATGACGTAATCTGACCAAAATATATTCTTGACAACCTTTCATCCACTATACTGTGGCCGTCGATAGCTTCTGTACAATACTAGTAAAAATAACTATATAATTTTTGTGTTTTTCTGTTCGGTATATTTTAGCGTCGACAGATGATAAAATTTTTAAGCCGTTCAAATTCAGAATGGAAGAGATTGAAGGATTTCGTTATCGTGCCCAGGATGCTTTGCGAGCTGTGACGAAAGCATCGGGTAAGATTCGTGGACAAATATAAAATGTAAGGTCCTGACTGCATGGAAACACCTGGCAAACTGTCTCGTGACCAGGCTCTTTGGTTTAGGAGGTAGCCCCACACCCATCATTGTCACTACATTTGAAGTTGACCGTCATGTATATAGCACCTCACCTATATAAAGCTTTCTGAACCCTCCTAAGTTAAGTTGAAATCGTTGTTTTACTGTACTTTCAGTCCGGGAAGCAAGATTAAAAGAAATTAAGTCGGAAATTTTAAATTCCGAAAAGTTAAAGGTAAAACATTGCCATAATCCGTAACATAGGCGAGTTGTTACCATTATAGACGTACCTTCCTTAAAACATTTTTTACTGGTTTTACTAATACGTGGTTTTGTATCATATGTATCATTTCATTCTTACAGGCTTTCTTTGAAGACAATCCACGAGATTTGCAACTACTGAGGCACGATAAAGATCTGCATCCAGCAAAAATTCAACCACATTTAAAACACGTTCCAGATTATTTAGGTAAGGTCCGACAAATCGTAATGTGTCGACGTCTATATACAGGGTTCGTAGCAGTCTTTGAAATCCTTGAAAGTCTGTAAATTTGAATGCAGGTCTTTAAGGTCTTTTAACAGTCTTTGAATTGTGTAAAAAAGCGAAGAAAGTCTTTAAATTCTTTAGTGAGTATTTGATTATACGATTTCCTACTGTAGCTAATAAAATAGATTGATTGAAGCAAGATTTTCGCAAATATCGACGAAAAAGTGCATTTTAGGATGTGATTTGAGGGGACTAATTACCTTGTAAAAATGGTGCTTATACACTCGCAATTTTTCGACAGCTGATTGCTCTCAAAGGTCTTTGAAAAGTCTTTGAAAATAGGCAGAAAAAATCTTTGAAAATCTTTGAATTTTTTTGGTCTTGGAGACTACGAACCCTGTATATACCTATAAACTGTTACACCCTGGAACAGTTGCCATCTTATACATCGGTTGTATACTGTTAAGCACTGCATGGATCGACATTCAAACCTATATATAAGAAGGGCTCATGGATAAAAATGAATTACCTTAATTTTATGCTGTCCATAGTTAGTTTGAGAGAATAAAGTATACATTACTCTTTTGTCTCGTTAAATGAATCGTTTCCACATTTAGTTCCTGAAACGCTGAAACCAACGCTAAACAAAACACAACATCGGAAAAGAAGTTACGTGCCTTTCCACAAACACTCACGAAATAACAATAATCACAAGGTAACCATCGCTAACTTCAATCATGAGTGGGAAACGACCAAAATCACTCGTGGGAAACAACTGATGTTTCTGAATTTGTTGGGAAAGTTTTTTCTTCTTTGCCACGATGTTTGGAAGATCCGGTAACCGGTTATAAGCAATCAAGAGAATATTGAAATTCCAGATGTTGCCTCAACAACGTTTCCTACTTTGCCCAGGTCTTTATGCTTGTATGCATGCATGGAATCAACCTTGTTCCCAGTGTCTCACCTCGACCCACGTGGCAATGACGTGGCATGATATGCCGACAGAAAACAGCAAGGAAACGGGGCTTCGTGCTAAATTGTATTATTATTTATTTAAAAAATTATTTTAAAAAATTCCTGGTTTCTGATTGGCTAACAGCCAACAGTGAAATTGTCATATCAACTCAATGGCTAACCAAATACGGATTTTTCACATTCATATTAGCAAAATGACGTCAAAGAGTCAATATGAAAAAAAATTGGACGCGTTTGCGCCATATTACTATGACGACGAGAATCATATTGACTCGCTGACGCCATTGATATGATGCAACGACGGCTGCCGAAGGACTGAGGAATTGTTTTTTTCTTAATACAAATAAAATACAAATGTTTGTTTTGAATTTTTTAAATAAATAATAAAACAATTATTAAATTCGGTTTTCGCACAATATGAAGAATTATCAAGCCCTCTGTTTGCCGTTATCAACCTCAGCCTTCGGCTTCGGTTGATAACGGCAAACTTCGTTGATAACGGCAAACTGACCGGAAAATTTAGATAACATTAGAATGAGGTCCATTTTCGCTAGATATTTGAGAAACATAGACCAGATCTTTCCATTGATACAGAGAAAAGAATTCGAGTCTGACCGGTCAGGCCATTAAATGGAAAGCGCGCCCTTGCTGTTCTTGCTCTTGACAATTACAGCGTACTTTGGAAATGGTCTGTTGAATTTATAACTGTTTAATGGTGTTTTGGTGTCCTTGGTGTTATAGAGAGGTACAGATTAGCACTACCGCTATTACCTCTCTCTGGCTTAGTACGCATGTGATTGGTTAATCCGAAATATCAAACGCATCTGATTGGTTAATGATCCCTTTATGTTAGCCGTAGTGGAAGTCCTCTCTTATGTAGGTTAGAGTGCGATCATTTTATCTTCTCATTTACAGAAACAAAAGTTAGATCCATTACGAACCTTTAAAGCTACTCAGAAACCTCACGAAAATAAGGTAAATCGTAAAGTTTCCCCCCTTAATAAAAGATTATACTGTATGACAATACAAGGTGACTTACTAGTTGATTTACTCGTTTGTAGATATTAAACAAACAATAAACAAAAATATAGAAGATATAAAAGTGTATAAGTTTGCCCTTTTACAATGCCTTTTAGTATAGTATAACATTTTACGTATTCTTTTGTTTAGAAACGACGAAAAAATAAACGCTAATGGAGTTAATATCAAGCAACAAATTCAGAGTGAATACGCGAATTCCAAGTGAAAGACTCGAAGTTGACAATTGTGTGCTTTGTTGGGCTTCATTAAACGTTCCAGCGCACCATATGTTGGTCAGTTTCAGTTTATTGTGAAGCGTCACTGGGCAGCAGACGGTGGGCCAACCGATCACGTTCGCACGTGTGCTGTACGGGTCAGAGACCGGGACTGGGGTTGAAGATGGCGGAAGTGTGTACAAGTATGATGGCTATATTTAATAAAATCGTGCAGTTTGAGTACATTATACCAGGTTCTTTCCCTTGAGGGAATAACCTTGGAGTAAGGTTGACGGTAGCAGCCTCGGAAATATTGACACATTACAGTCGTGCCAATAGAAGCGTTCCGAAAAATGTTGACCAATTCATTTCCTAACTTGAAGGAACACCTCTGAACAATTCCTCAACAATTTGATAAGTTCCTTAAAAAGTTCCTAACTTCCTGTTTCATTGACCAATCAAATTTTATTTTTGAGCAATCTGATTGGTCAATGAAACAGGAAGTTAGGAACTTTTTAAGGAACTTATCAAATTGTTGAGGAATTGTTCAGAGGTGTTCCTTCAAGTTAGGAAATGAATTGGTCAACATTTTTCGGAACGCTTCTATTGGCACGACTGTAAACACTTATCAATATATGAAACAATGTATTAAAAATGTCTTTAATAATATATTATTTAGTTAACCTAATAGCCACGGTTCTGAGTATGCGTTGGGTCTCGTTCTATAAACTGTGGTTATTTACATAATGCTAACGTGTCCGACAAGCCTTGGAAGAGTACACATAAAAACACGTAACACGTAAAAAACACACATGCCTGCATCAGACTTGTAGCAATGCTGTTCCAACAACTTGTCAACAGGATGTGTTCGCACTGCTTGTTCCCAGCTTGTTGACAAGTTGTCAACAGCTTGATGACAACTTGCTACAAGGTTGTTGAACTCGACAGACTTGTTACAAACGTCCTGTAATTCAACAATTTGTCAACAAGTTGTGAGTGACAACCTTGTAGCAACTTGATAAAATAACAGCATTGTTACAACTTCGGTTCACAAGTTTGCTACAAGCCTGTTGAGAACACATCTTGTTGACAAGTTGTGAGATTCAGTTTTACGTGTGTACCAGTTGTATATATATATGTGAAACTGTTAATACAAGTAAGCTGTGCCAGGCGTAATAGTCTGGGGGCCGCTAGCACTCTCCTTCGTAGTTCGTACGATAATATTGCGATAGCGTTGGACGAAACTCTAGCGTCTAGCACGAGACAAGTCCCGTTCTCGGTGGAATTTTAGCTTGTCGGGAAGTATGGACGGTGGGATTTTTTAAAATTTATTTCCACTTTCAACCAAACTGACTTGGTTACCGTACAAGTTACCAACCTCGTTCCCAGGGTTCTCTTTGTGCTGGCAGAGAACCCTGTGTAGGGTAGAGTACGAGGTTGACACAGTGAACTGTAATGGTTATTTACAGTTCACTGGGTTGACAAGTTACCTAAAATTTACCAATCTCGTTAGAGTATGCCTGTTTGCGGGTTATGTAGTGGCATGATAACCCGCGAACAGGCATACTCTGGGAACGAGATTCAAAATTTACATGCAGGATGAACGAGTTATCATGAAGTATCCCGGGTCATATGAACACACTTGCAGGCTCATTTCATCGTCAATCAGGATATAAACAGTGAAACATGATGTGTTGTAAAAGAGCTGGAATTACTTGAAAAAGATTTAACAAAATAGCCAAAAGTCATGGGAGAAGAACAGCAGAGTGGTCCGACGCAGCATGGAACTCTTCTTGGTGAAATTGAAAGCAGTGACGGCCCTGTTGGCCCCACATTAAAGTAAGGGTGTTTGATAAATTGATTTGTTTTTTAATTGATTTAATTACTTTAAAATATGTTTCTGCTGATTCTGCACATCTGCAGAATATTATGAAGCATATATGTAGTAAAGGTAAAGTTGGGGATAGGCGTGTTAGTCAACTTTCCTTGTTTCTGAGGGCTGAATTCTGAAGGATACAGCTCAAACGTGACTGATTCAAAGACTTGGCAATCTGCCTGACTGCCTCTGACAGCTAGTCACCATACAACCCATGTCTGGTTGGTGATTGGATTAGTTTTTGGTCAGAGAGGAAAACAGGAGTACCTAGAGCCATGGTAGAGTACCAACCATAACAGAATACATACTTGAGTTTAATTAACCAGGGCTTGAAATATAAACAGCTCCAATTCGATGATTGGCAAGAGATTGCTTATGAGCAGCGAAAAAGCAAGGTTTCCAACCTGAAAAAAAAACAGGGAAAGTCATGACTGCCGATCACCTGATCACCATGATCGGGAACTTTGGAAACATTATTTCAAGCCCTAATTAACCTATAAATAAATACCCTACCCTCAATTTTCAGTATTAATTAAATACCGTATACCTGTCAGTATGACACCCATGCCTAAGTTTCTTTTAATGCCTTTTTGGAGTTTGCGACACCATCTTGCCATGTGTTGCAACTACTCCATACAGCAACAATACCATGACCTGAGACACAAGCTGGTACTCCCATTGGGACAAGGCAATGGTTTTACCATTGCATTTACCCTTGCCCATTTTTGCAAGATGGCATCGCAAACCCCAAAAAGGCATATACCCTTTGCATCCTTTGAGCTCCTTATTTGACACTTTTTTCCCCTTAAATCCAAACTGTACAAAGTGAACAATATTTAATATCTTCATACAATGTATCATGATGTGTGTTTTAGGACTATATATGATAGTGATGGCCACAAAATGTTTATGGAGAAGCTTGATGAGAGCATTCAACATCACGACAAAGAAATAGAAAAAATGTGTAATTTTCATTATCAAGGCTTCATTGAGTCTGTCAATGAACTACTAAATGTCAAAGGAGATACATATAAATTAAAGGTATGGTACATTGTCTGATGCATGATAAACTTAATCATTTGCATTGATTGATCAGCTGCAGATAAATGCTAGGCCCACTAAGCTTTCAGCCAATCACATTTAAGACATTTAAGGTTGACATAATTAAAGTCATCATACGATGAGTCCTTAATTAAAGACTTAAGGCTGATTTCCAGTCAAGCATTTTGCATCTGTTTTTTTTACGTACATGTATGCACTTACATTTATGTATAGCTCCCGTACGTAAACATAAATGCACGTATGTAAAAAACGGACGCTTGACTGGAAATCGGCCTTTATGGTGAATAATTGATTCCCCACGTATGAAACAGGCCTAAGAATTAAGTAATTATGTTGTCATGTACGCATTACAATTTTAAGATTTTTTTTAACATATTTGCGTCAATGAATCACTAAGTGTAAAATTATTTTCTTCTAAATCTAGCTTTATGTCAAGGAATTAGATGAGAAATTTAAATTCTCTGGATGTGAGGTACCAATCATTTTTCATTTGTATTTTTGAAAAAAAAGTCATAATTAGGGTTTCAATGAGATGTGCTGGACAGGTTTGAAATGCTCAAGTTTCACAATTCTTACAAATGATCCCTCAGAATGTTAGGACTGTCAAAATGCATGAAATAGTTTGCTTGGAGGGCATGCTCTAGTAGCTTTAACCCTCCTAGTTAAGATAGATCTTGCCTTGCTGAAATATCATCACCAACCAGTGTACTCAAATAATTTCTAGATATTGCATGGTTTAATATCCTGGGTATACTGACTATATTGTATTGGTGTGTTTCAGTAAGTGTCAGATGGCAGTTCTATTTATTGCCCACCACATACAAGACCACTACCACTGACCACTACATATAATGAAAATAGAAATATGACCACCATCTCCTGCACAATAGTGCTTTGTAGAACTGTGTATTCTTTCAAACCTTAGCTTGCGAAGCAGATCAGCAGTTTGATCCAGTGTCGGTACATGCAAAGGAACATTGCTTCTGCTGTAGAGACCATTACACTATGCTTACCAGGTGAGTTTAGCATTCTCTCCTAACATTTATGTGAATATATCAGCATATTTGAACACTTATCTTTCTTCCTGTTGTTCAGTACTAGAAATGTATGCCAAGTTGCAAGAACAGTTGGATGGAAAAAGGTATGAAGTACATGTGTTGAGTTTTCTAATTATATACTGTAATTATATTTAGCGCATCTGGACATTCATATGCTAATTTGCGCTTAATTAACAAATGTATTTAATAACTCCCTAAGCCAACACCGCAGAGTGCCGTGCGACGGCACTAATTCTGCCTGGCTATTTACCACCGGGGAAAGGAAATCATTAGCGAAGTCTGAAGTTTGTCAATGATCATGGGCACGGGTGATCAACCGTGTGTGGTCATCCTCACTGATCTCAAAATATACCAGACTGTCATGAATAGCAAACACTGATTTAATGTTCTTTATAAAACTAAACTGCCTTTATCAAATATAGACTTTGAGTTTGAAATAAAATGATTTCAAATTTTCACATGCATATAACTTTGGTTTCTATTTTATTTAAAAATGTTGATATAATAAAAAAGGGTACTCAATAAAGATACACTGAAATTATATGCTCCTTTTTTCATTTAAAATTTTGTTCATTAGGGAATAGGTCCATTAGGCCCTGCTCTCAAATTTTGCGCCCGTCCTCTCTATATAAGGCCCACGTTTTTGAAAATGTGTTAAACCTCTGTCTCTATTATTAGTTCCCCCTCTCCAATACCCCCCTCCCCTTCCCCCTTTCAAACATGCTTCCCCCTTTCAAACATGTTAAGCTCATGTGAGGCTTAACAGAGGATACACAGTGCAATGTTTGCTAATTGTTCCTAGATATTATCCTGCACTGAAAAGCTTGGAACAACTTGAGCACACATATCTTCCAAGAATAAGCAGGTATGGGTTGCACATTGGCTTTTTGTATGGTACCTCATGCTTGCTAAACTCAATAAGCTACATTGCATGGTATCCTCGTGCAATGCAGCGTGTTTAGCACCAGAAATTTTGTGTATGAAAGGGAAGGTGTTATGTGGAAAAACAATATCTCAGGAAACATATAGAGTCAATCACATATCATCCCTTTAGTTTTAGATTTGCAGAGATAATGAGCACCCGCATCCCAATTTACCGGGACAACATAAAGAAAGCAGCCATGTCTGATTTGAGGGTAAGATAATTTTCCGCACGGAGCGGAAACTCTCTTTGTCTTTTCTAATTAGTTCCACCCGAGAAATCACAAGACAAAGAAAAATTCCGCTCCGCACGGAAAATTCCGCCTAGTGGAAAACGGCCTTTACACACGTATGATTTGTGATGTATATTAGCATGTTCTGCACCATGGACACCAGCTATGCTACCGCGTTATAGCAAGACTCCACTGCATAGTAATGTATGTATAACAGTAAAGATCAGCCTGCCAGTATATGCTGTTTCAATGTTGTGTGGGTTCCTTTTCAGGATTTTCTTGCCAGCATTAGGGAACACTCAAAGAAACTTGGTGCCATTGCCATGAAACAGGTGAAGAATTAATTATTTCAACAGGGCTAGAGATAATATTTTGCGTGTCAGGGTTTCCTTCAGGTTTTCAAATTGCGGATTTTCATCCTCACATATTTCCTGCAGTTTAACATTTCCGTGCTCGACTATTTTTTCACGCCTGTAATTATCATGGATTTCCATGACTGAACACAAAATATGATTTTAAAATGTAAAATATTCTGCAAGATCAAAGTTTAGATCTCATTAAACTTGGGTCTCATGGAACAAGCTGTAGGTTAAGTTTTGTTTCTGTTGATTGGCAGGCACAAAAACGTCACAATTTATCAATTTTACATGGAGTGGGAGAGTCTAATCCAGTTGGCAAAGAAGAGGTACTGGTATACATTGTCAGTCTATATATAGCTGGTGATTCCAGCTATATAGACTGAATTTTGATCAAGGCAAGAAGAACGAAATCCAACACCACAGCTAGAAAGAGCGTCCTAGAATGAGTAAAACTGCAAAGATTGCATGGTTGCTAAATGTTGTAAAATGAAGAAAATATAGCCCCGTGAAGTTAGCAAATTTTGTATATATTTGTATTACGCGCGGTAAAGATAACCACTTTCGTCTCAAAAATGGTTAATATTTGTTCCGCGCGTAATGTCAAACATACAAAATTTGCGAACTTCACAGGG